GGCTGGTAGACCCTAGGCAAGCCAGGCAACCAATCATTCAGTGCTCCAAGAATCTCTTGAGGACTGTCAGTTGCCAATCTACTGGTAGAGAGAGAGATTTTTCTCAATGGAAGTTCCCTGGATGAATAAATTCACAGGTCTAAGATAGCTAAACATTTCAAGAAGTATATATAAAACCATAAGATCATCGATCTAAAGCTGTGAATTTCATCCTCATTTTACAGATGAGGAAACTGAGGCCCAGAAAGGTTGTGACTTGCTCAAAGTCACACAGACAGTAAGTACCAGCACAATTGTTCTTATTCAAATCTTCTGACTCCAGAATTCTTTCTATGAATGGGTTGTAAATTATGGAACTGGCGCTGGAAGAGACCTCAGAAGCCATATGACCCAACCCACTCATTTTACAGAAGGAAACTGAGGCCCAGTGTTGCAGCAGTAGTTAAGGATCAGGGGTGAAACGTTAATCTCAGCAGGCCCTTCTGACTCCAGAACCAGTGATCTTTTCTCCACTGGGCCCCACGGCTTCCACCTTTAGCAATATTTTCTTTTCTCTTCATGGTGCTCTTTCCTCTATTCTCTGACTTTACGGGACCCAAGAGGCAAGCATTCCTGTCTCACCTATTCTTCCACACTAAGATCCAGAGTCATTTGTAAGCCATTTTCTCTTATGAGTTTGTCGGCACGGGTGTCACTGTCTCCTTTTTCACTCTTCAAAGATTTCTTTATATGAGTTTTAAGTCTCCTGGGTCTCTTAAGGGGTTCTAAAGCGTTCCTGGCAGTTTTCTTCCTCTTCTAATGGCTTCTTCTTTTCAGGATTTCCTTTGAGTTCTCTTAATTTACGCAGCAGGTAATAATATTTAGCAGTCTTCAAAAATAGTTCTCTTTTCTCTGTGGCAGAAAATTAGATTTTTCTGGACTGAAGAGGAGCTTTGATATATCCTTATCTACTCAATTTTCCCAGGAAGGCCAGTAACATTTAATGCAAAGGTTTTCTAATAGTCTCACAACTGGCACACTGATGACACATTAGGGACATGGGGAGGAAATAGATGGATTTTTAGCAGGGATATTTGGAAGAGAAAGAAGCTCTACTTTTTTTCTGTCAAGGCCCCATTCTGGAGAATTTTCCATTTCAAAATGCCTTCTAGGCCATGAAGAAAAGAATAGGGTGAGTCAAATATAGGAGGGGATAAGGGATTTAGAATAAAGATATCTTAATGAGCTGGTACCTTTGCCAGTGATTTTTAAAAATGAAATATCCCAAGGGGAGTCTTGTAGTGGTTTATGCCTGTTGGGTTCAAGCAAACTTCTCCCAGGGTTAGGCAAACCCTTCTGATTGCAGGGCTTCCCCGGAAACCTGCATTGTGCCTAATTGCATCTCTCAAAAGCTGCTACATCTCTTCCCAGCACTAACTGTCAAAAACGAAAGGAGTCTATTGGCCCTGGGAAGATGGGTCAGTCAAGCCCTAGAGCCTACAGCCTGCCATCATTCATACTTAGCTCTATCACAGTGTAGACCTGGCTAAGTTGCCTTATCTTTCCATCAGCCTCCGTAACAGCCATTAGTAATGCAAGGGTTTGCTTGTTTGTTTTGGTTTGTTTTTTGACCTATTCATTCTCAAAATGAAAGGAGCCCCTGCAATGGAGGAATATAGGGTCATCAAGAAACAGCATCTGCCAGCAGTGTTTCTGGGGAGCAGAGCCTGGGGGGCTGGGATGGCAGGTTGCTTAGGTGACACCTACCCAGTGCCACTCTTCAAGTGACGTGCATGACTGCGAATGTCAAGTTCATTCTCAATTATCCATGGTCCAGCCATCTGGCCGTTCTTGAGAGACCATGTGATTGGAGACAGAGCTGGACGAGTCCTCAAAGGCCATGACTCCAACACTCTCATTTTACAGAAGAGCAGCCTGAGATCCAGAGACACTAAAAAACTTACCCAATCACTTTTGAATCTAAACATCATTTCAATTGTACTATGATGCCTCTAGGGCAGCTAGATACACAGTGGATAGAATGCCAGGCCAGGAAGACTCATCTTCTTGAGTTCAAATCTGGCCTCAGACACTAGCTGTGTGACCCTGGGCAGGTCGTGTAACCCTGGTTGCCTCAGTTTCCTCATCTGAAAATGAGCTGGGGAAAGAAATGGCAAACCACTACCAATATCTCTGCCAAGAAAACCCCAAATGGGGTCATGAAGAGTTGGACACGACTGAAATAAATGAACAACATGATACCTCTTACCTTATTCCCACACACACTTTCTCTCTCTGGTGTGATCAACCCCTCTGACTCCTTTCCATTTTCTTTCAGATGGCTTTTTACCCTAATTTAAGAAGCCAGTAGCAACAACAAACCAGCACACGCAGCAGTCTTCCCTGGTGCTCGTTTTTCTTGACCTCTTTGCACTATCAAACACTCTCTCTTAGAAACATCCTCCTTCCTTGTCTTCTGGGACCTATTATACATACCTTCTGCTCTGTTGATGGATAATTTTCTTTCCTCCTCTGGTTCCCTCCAATTCTGGTGAGATTTCTGCAAGTTCTCCTTCCATTTCCCTTTGCTTAGGAGAGAGCCATCACTTTTACTGCTTCAGACATTACTTCTGTGTTGATGACACATTTTATTCTATGCATTTCAACACCAAGGGGTTGGTTACACAAAAATGGGTAAGGACCTCTGGCCTCTAGACTAAAACCTGAAAAGTAAATGATCCTTCAGCCACTGCATCCAGTGAAGGGAACCAGCCCCTGAGGAGAGCCCCCAATCCAGGGGGGCTGCTCTCCTGGTTAGGAAGCTTCTCTCTCCCAAACTGGTTCCTTCTCCTATCTCCTTTATTCCCATTGTCTTTGGCCACCCTGCCCTGAGCTCAGGCAGGTCACAAACCTTGAAATTAGGTAGGATCTACCCTTTTTCTTATCCTCCACATTCAGTAATTCATTAGGTCTTTTGGAATGTCTTTGATATCTGCTCCTTCACCTCTGTTCCCATTCCACCCTCCTTATCCAGGCTCTTATCACTCACACCCAGGTTATTAGTGTAACATCTCCCTCTCTGGCTTCCTGGACTCCTAATCTTTCCCTTCACCCTCTTCCCTACCTTCATCCTTCCCTCCTTCACTCCACACCTCTCCCAGATGAACATGCCACGAACTTTCAACATGCCGTTGATCTCCTAAGAACCTTCAGTGACTCTGTTATCTATGTCCTCCTATTCTGAACTAGGGACACTGTCCATAACTTGGCTGCTTCCACTCAGCTCTACTCCCCAGTACACACCTCTGCCTTATTCAGGCAGTTTCCCTCTCGTGGAATGTTTCCATCCAAGTCTCCAAATTCTACTGACTTTTTCCTCAAAGATCAAGTTCAAGTTGTAGCAAAGCTTTCCTGACCCTTTGGTCTTAATTTTACTTCATCAATCATTAAGTATTTATTAAGCACTTACCATGTGGTACCATACCAGAAACTTGGCAAACCATAACAAAAAAAGGAAAACAGTCCTTGTCCTCAAGGTGCTTACATTCTATCAAGGAAGTGATAAGCGAGGTTACAAAAGTAGTAAATATCTGAGACATGATTTGAATTCAGGTCCTCCTGCCTCCAAAACCAGTGCCAAAGCTACTATGACAGGCAGTTTGATATTTTCTTAGGGTGTTGGGTCTGTCTCCACCACTAAACTCTAAGCTTCTTGAGTTCAGGGACCATACATTCTTGTGCTTTTCTTTCCCTTACTGTGATTGAGAGGATTGAGTCCAAAGCAAATCCCAAAATAGTATCAGTCAATTGATAAACCACACATCCCATCTCAAACCACATTACATACATACGAATGTACATGCACATCCATACACATGAGTCTTCTGTTTTCCTTCAGCTAGCAAAGTCAGCACCCCTCCCCCACCCCACCTTTGTTCTATGACGGAGCATGGTAATGGGGAAACACAAAGTGTTTCAACATAGGCTTCTGGTGAATCTAGTGAAGTGTCCTCACAGTCTGGTGGGAAAACAGCTTTCTAGAATACTACTGCTGTGTTCTTTTTTTCAGAAAGAGCTGAAGGGACAGTGTTGTCCATTATACTTGAACACCTAAGAAATACACAGACCTATTGCTTTCTCCTTCCCTTCCTCCCCACACACATTGGCTGGACCACGCATGGTCAAAAATGGATGCGTCCTGGCCAGAAGTATTGGCCATGATAAGTCACCCTTCTCTTTACTAAGGTTTCTGTTGTTTCATTGACTGAAGTTAACTTGGCTCTCTTGTACACACATATGCTTAAAAACCAACAGCCAATGTTTAAGATGAGTGAAAAACAATCAGCAGATTTCTCACGATGAATCATTTGGCCAGCTATGGCTTTCCTTCTTTATTAGTGCTGTGGTCATATAACAATACGGGATGAAGCTGACTCTTAGTACCAAATCTAAAACTTGGGACATTCAAACAAAGTGTGCTTGAGAACCATAGAGAGCTTTCATCAATATATCTTGATCCCATTATCAAGGAAGAATCTCTTAATTACACAAGTAAGCCAACAGCCTTAAAAACAGTCACCTAAGCAGAATCCCAATTGATTAATTTCTTAAAGGCACTTCCTCACTAGGACATTAACAGCATCTGGGCTTTGGATGTGTCACACGCACAGAAACAAAATGGAATGCCGCTTCAAGTACTTCACGTGGAGAAAATCTTTTTGTTCCCCACATTGGAATGTAAGTGGATTTAGAGTTAATTTTTAACTAGAGTGAACTTTTTGTTTCAAAAAGAGGAGGCTTTTCTTGAGACTAAACCAAAGTGTTTAATCAATTTCAATATATGACTTTCCTTGAACATGAACCTGAGAGATGGATCAATAAAGCAGTTGGATTGTAAATGAGGCTGATGCAAAAGTAAACATAATAGCATTTAGATAATACAATGGGGGGAAGGAGGAGGTGGAAGGAGAGAAATAAATAGGGAAATAATTATTCATTTTATTTCAAATTCATCCTCTTACCTGTTTTTATGCAATCTGATGACTTGCAAATTCCATCTGAAAAAAAAAAGGGAGCGCAGAGATAAAAGTATACTATATGTATTTACCAGCAGCTTTTGCCCTATTTTTTGTTCTATTTAAGATTGTCATTTTAATGGATGGTTCATTAACAATAAACACAATAGAAGTCCAAGTACTATGTATCTCCATGAGTCAGAGGGAAACAATACAATAAAAAAGGCACAGTACATACATTACATTTAGATGATAAAGACAAATGTATATGTTTACAGTGAGATTTCTATTAGAAGGAGAGAATCATATCTGCTAAGCTCCCGGATTTCTTAAATTGGAGTAATCAGCTGTTCAGGCCTACTAATCACTTTTCCCATTAAGGAACTAATCCTTGCTATGAAAACTCCTCAGCCCCAAATTAGGCCTCCTAAACTCCAAGGAAGCCCTATCGAATGTCAATGAGCCAAGAGCAGCAAGGTCCTAACTCCATTCTGCCAGGAAATCCTATACTCTCAATTCAGATAAAAGTATTTACACTTGGATCAGCTACTCACACATTTTGTATTCTTGGGGGAAACTGGTTTCCCTTTTCTTGTCCTCATTTCCCTCACTTATAAAATACAAGGTATGGGAGACCATTCCAACTCCAATATTCTATGACTGCATGACTCTTGTGACAAAAAAAGCACATGAACTAAGTAGGCTAAGTAATGGAAAGCTCAGCTCAAACTTTGAACACCTTATTTTAGGGCCCTGGGTGATTTCTAGATATAGTGTATGACATATTTTGTATTCCATATTTCATGCTAAGTGCCTTCTAAAATTTTGACTCTTTCTTCCCATGAGACTGTTAGAGCTGAAAAAGAACTTAGATGTTATATAGTATAACCTTTTCATTACATAGGTAAAGGAAATTCAACCTGGAGAAGGGATGTGACCTATGCAAGGTCACACAGATAGCTAGATAGAGATAGAGATAGAGATATAGATAGGAAGATCTATCTATAGAGATGTCTATCTGTATATGGGGTGTGTGTGTGTGTGTGTGTGTGTATGTGTGTGTGTGATTAGCTGTCTGTATGACCCCCAACTCCCAGTGTATATACCAACCACTGTCCATTAGTACTGGTTAGCTATTACAGCGCATGGCAATGATTTCATTCTCCACTTTAGACCCACGAGGTCTCTCTCGACTCACCGTCATGGGTGGCATAAAGAACTATCATCGTGACCGCTATGATGGTGAGCAGAAGCACAAGAACGGAAAGACTCAGCTCCAGGGAGGTCCATCGCTGCTTTGCCTTCGGCTTGGGGCTGCTGATTTCAGTTATATCCATCTGGCTTTCTGATCTGCCCATAACCTAAGGTCTGAAAAGACAGAGAAAATGGCACACATCTCAGTAGTTATTAGATGCCTGACCTTTATACATGTTGAATGATGAAAGTGGGTTAGAAAGTGGTTTGTTCAAAGGGTTACTAAAAATCTTCGCCCTGAAATAAACATGCTTGAAGCCCAGAGGTCAGAATCTATCTCTCACAAGGTTTCATGGGATCTTGATATGCCATGGAAGGGCCAAAGAGAGTCCAAGAGGCTTAGATTTAGAGAAATACTCACTTAGCGTTCTGCTCCTCAGAAGTTCAGAAGCAAATAATTTCTGTACAGTCATTAAGGATCTCTCCTAACCCCTCCTCTTGATCTCCGAACTGTTGTCAAAGTTTACTTCTATATCTCCTGGCTCTCTTCACAATCTCAGAAATCAACGACTAATAAATATCTCAAGGTTTTGATTAAGTAAGATAATGACTGAAACGACTAGAGTTTCCAAAACATAATCTCCTCCAACGAATGGACAAACACACCCCCAGGCACATGCACAAACACCTTTGGGGAAGTTTCTGATTTCTTAATCTCTAAAAATAGCTTTCCTCTAGCTCAGCAATTCTGACAGTGCTGGTCATCAGGTCTGAACCTCTGCCCCGCCTGGAGAATACATATGAAAGCTGTCACTTATTTACTCAGGGGGCCAAAAGTCAACAGCTTCAATTTTTGACAGGATATATGCCTCTGTGTGTGTGTGTGTGTGTGTGTGTGTGTTGTATACAAGTAATCATTTTTATTGTTGAGTCATTTCAGTTGACTGACTCTTTGAGACCCCATTTGTTTTGTTTTGGTTTTTTGCAAAGATAAAGCGGTTTGCCATTTCCTTCTCTAGCTCATTTTTACAGAGGAGAAACTGAGATAACCAGGGTGAAGTGACTTGCCCAGGGTCACACAGCTAGTAAACGTCTGAGGCTGAACTGGAACTCCTGAAGAGGAGTCTTCCTGATTTCACACTCAGTGCTCTATGCACTATTGCGCCACCTAGCTGCCTTACAAGTCTTCATACATGTGTCTTTCCTCTTCCATAGATTCCCAAAGCGGGCAATACCACCTGCTGGGGGGTGCTGGAATGATCCAGAGGGCGGTAGTAACCTCTGGTAGTAGCCTTGGGAGCATTGAATAAAAATGAGGGGGTGGTGGAAGCGTAAGGAAAGAAAATAAGAAAATTTTGGGAAAAATCTGTGGTGCAACAGTTAAAGTTGTAGTGATTACATTATTTTCCAAATAAACACGCAAAATGTAAGCTGTAACTGATCAATGATCAAGTCCACCGGCAGGTCTGAATAAGCAAGTGTTGGCAGGCAAGCACGGGGAGCATTACTAGGAAGTCCTGCACGTAACGACAGGAATACCTTGCATATAATTGCTTACAATACGATACCACACAGTTAAATGACAAAATATTGCATCATCAAAATTTCCATGCAGGAGAAAAAAACATAAGTTCACAATAAATTATTAAATTTTAGATGTGTCATTTAAAACATTTTATATTTTTTGAAATGATGCAAATTAAAAAAAAAGTTGAAGGGTTAAAGAAAGTAGATTTCTGGGGTGGGGAGCTAAGTAAATATTTTTTTTTTTGAAAAGGGGGTAGTAGGCCAAAGAAGTTTGGGAACCTCTGATCTAGACTATCCCATATGAATGTGTATATGATTGATATTGATTATGATTCCTATTAAGTATGATTCGTATTGAAAGGCAGTGTAGTATAGTGGCTAGAGGAACCAGGAAAACTCAAGTTCAAGCTCTAACTCAGATATAAACTGTCAGTCTCTTGAAGTCCCCAGACAATTGTTTAAGACTCAAAGTTACAGAAAATCTGAGCAACATTGGGAGATGGAGTTTCTTCCTCTGAGAATTCCCTGCACCGATGAAATCCCACAGGTCTACTCCCTTTCCCTAACATTAATATATGAGAGATAGCGTGGCATCTCTCATATTAGGGAAGCTCTGAGTTCAAATCCCACTTCTAACTCCCAAGAGCGGTGTGACCAACTACTCAAACTCTGAGTGTGCTAGGCAACTCTGTCAAACTCTGGTTTGAGAAAAGGTGCCAGAGAGGGATCTCTTCACTAGAAGTTCCCTCATGCCAGTGGTTCTCAAACTTTTTGGTTTCAGGACCACTTCATACATTGAAAATTATTCAAGACCCTTCCCCCTAAGAACTTCTGTTTATGTGGACTATATCTATTGATATTACCATATTAGAAATGAAAACAACTCAGTGTTATCTTGAAAATTGTTTCAACTTCCCAGGATCCCTGAAAGGGTCTGTCCTCAAGCATCCCCAACCGCACTTTGAAAACCATTATATGGTTAAAAAAAACCCAAAACTGCCCTTTACAAATGAAATCACAGGGTTGGTCCAAAGAACCTAAATTAAACCATATGTGTATACACAAATATATACTTCTATTGTCTAGTGTTATTAAAGAAAAACAAAACAGAACAAATCCAATCAGGCAATCAAAAAGCATTTATTAAGTGCCTACTATACTGGCATATGCCAGGCTCTATGTTAAGCTCTGGAGATGCAAAGAAAGGGAAAGTCAGTTCTCTCTAAGCCTTGTTTTCTTTTTGCCAGGCATTAAGATATCTGCTTTATTGATATCCAGAGCAGAAATGACACCCCCCCCCCAAATCAGGAGAACACACTCAGACATTCCCAGAATGAAGGGAGCCCTTTTATTCTGTAAGTATTTTGATACTTTTAGAAATGCAATATTGAACATAACTATATAAGGTTACACGTCATATAAAAATCTAGATTGTTTGAAGGCATTAAAAAATGTATTTTAGATGTCCTAATGTTCTCCTAACTACTTATTTGAAAAGAGTTAAAACACACGTGCTCGCGCGCGAGCGCGCGCGCGCGCACACACACACACACACACACACACACAAACACACTCAATTTCCTATTACTGGAGAAGCATGGTGCTTATCTAAACCCTGCAGATTTGATCTTAACTTAAGTGGGCTGGGAAACCAACAAAAGCAGCCTCAAAAAAGACTTAGTGAAAGTCCCTTTACATTTTAATTGCAGTCACAATAGAACCCAAGAATAATTTAAATAGATTCCAGCTTTATTTTCAAGTTTTTTTTTTATTTCATTTAGTACCCTGGCCATTATCTAACTACAGAAGTTTAGACCAAACCAGACAGTTTGAATTATTTTCATTTACAATGGACAAGGCGTCACTGGGGGCTAATTAGCTGAATGAGCCATTTGGTTCTTCCTACAGAGGCATAAATCTGACTTAGATCTTAGATAAAATCAGCAATATTTTCTCTGGGATGCTCACCTCCAGATTCAAAGGTCTCATTAAGTCCTAAGGAGGTTTGAGAGGATTCTCAACATTTCCCCCAAATGCTTACTTTACTTATTTCCCCCCAGATACTTCTGCCACAATAATTTATCAAAGGATCACAAAGTTAGTGCCATAAAGGACCACAGCGGTCAACCTAGTACTAGCCCCTTCCTTTTATAGATGAGCAAGCACCAATGATTCAAACCCAAAGAAGTGGACATAACCTGCCCAAGGTCACACAGAATCATGGCAGAGCCAGGATAGAAACTGCAGTCCTGACTCAAATCCAGAACTTTTTTTCTCCACACTCAGAAAAATCAGTAAAAAGTTTTTTTCCAAATTCTCCCTTATGTTTTTTTTTTGTTCACTGAAATAACAATTGCCCAGCTAAATTTCTTAGAGCTGAATTTACTTAGTCCTCACCAAGACAGCCAAAGGTTTAAACAAAATGTTTGCTTAGACAGTAGTTGCAAAAGATCTAGCAAGTTAATACCGACTCCTTGTCTAGTACTACGCTGCCTGGCACCTTCCTCCCTTTAACTGTTTCCCTCTCAGTTCCTCCAGGGTGGAGGCTTGTCCATCTGGCTCCCAACGTACAAAGCCATCCTAAGGAGGTAGGTATGGTTAGTCTTAACAGTGACCTAGAGTGGCAGCAGCTGCCTTCTTGATCAAAAGTGCTCCTTAGGATACATTTCCTTTAAGGAAAGGAAATTCTAAGTGTCAATAACATCTTTTATATTCTTTTGCAAATTGTCTTTTTCTTTGCAGGCCTCACTACTTTTCTTATGGGATTGTTGAAAGCAATTCTTTTAAGGGACTTAAATTACCTAAGAAAAATCTTAGAAATTCTAGCACCCAAGTAACTACCCAAATTGCCATGTAGTTAAATTCTCTTAAGCAATTTGGAGACAAGGGTGTGTGTGTGTGTGTGTGTGTGTGTGTGTGTGTGTGTCTGTGTGTGTCTGTGTGTGTGTGTATTTGTGGAGGTGGGAGAGTTTGAATTTTAATCCTTAGAGTAGGCTGTGTGTCACCCAGGTGGTTGCAAGCTGCCCCTTCTCTGATCTTTTTAAGAGACAAAAAGGGAGGGTGGGTAGAGTAATTCAGTAGATGCAGTTAACAGGACTACCGGTGATCCTCCCTCCTATGAGGCTAAGGAAAAAATACACCTGTATCATTGACTCACTGTGTTTCCACTAGAAGTGCTATGCTTTTGAAAACTGGAGACTAAAAAGTACACGGAGTTGTACTCTTGAGGGTAGGGAGGATGGTTAAATTCCTTGCAACAGTCCCAAATCAGCCTCTTAGTTTTGAGAGTTACTCGGAGCATTGAGACTTACTCAAGGTCATCCAGATAATTTGAGCATTGGCAGGTACTGCAGAAGCCAAGCTCATCTTTCCATCCACTACCCCACGCAGCCTCTTCAACACAGTGTATGTGAAGGGGCGGGGGAGGAGGGATGGGGGGGGCAAATAAAAGGATTAATCCCAAGCAGGGTCTCCAATCTTCCACTTAGGACCTACCAGTTACGGCCCTGGACCACTCATTGAAATGACTAATTAAGATCAAGGGACGATTCTGATTATTTTTGCCCCAATATAATTACTACATCAAAGTGATAGAAAGAGGCAATCCTCCAGATAAGAGAGTATAATCCTATTATCAGATGGACAAATTGACGAGCCCGAGGAAAACCGGTGAGTTCAGAGAATACACGTACTTAGCAATTTTCGTCTTCAAAGCACTCCACTCATATTAACTTATTCCTTCCAGCCCCTGCGGTTGTGATATGTAATTACAATGTGTATTACTATACCACTTTAACAGGTGTGGAAATGGAGGCACAGGGGGAGGTCGAGACAGATTCCATTCTTGAGGCTATGGCCTCAAGTGAGGCCAGTGAGCAGCTCACTACAGGAATTGATCTTCCCAGGCTGTAGCTAGTAAGTGACCCACTACTGGGATCGGGATGGAACAGTTGCTGGCTACAAAGTTTCAGCCGCATCGCCTGCCTTACTGCACGAGCCTATGAAACCGCACCAAATCTAGAAACTTTAGCAGACGCTGAAAAACATGTCCCAGTAGTACAAGGCAATGGGCCGTAACTGCTCTCGGAGCTGATTAGACAGCTCCGCAATGCTTACGCTGCAAACCGGTGGCTACTTTCTGCTGCTGAAGGAAATTACCCTTTTTAATTAAGAGCTGGATCAGGGAGTGCTCAGTGTCAGGGCTCTATCAACAGAAGGCTTGAGGGCGTGCTGCTCCTCTCTCGTAACTGCCAAGTGGAATCTCTATCGCAATTTAGGTTGCGAATCACAGCGGGGTTTCGCAAACTTTTATATAGACTTGGGAAGGAGCGACCGGGCTGCGCCTCGCCCGGATGCTGGAGACAATCGTGCAATCAGGACTGAGCTCACCCAGGCTGAAAGGGAGATGAAGAGAAAAGGCAAAGACGAGGCACGGCTCCGGGGCAGCGGAAGGAGGAGCGACGGTGGCATTTTCTGAGGCACAATTAGGGTTAGGGTTAGGGTTAGGGTTAGGGAAGAGGGTTTGGACACCACGGTGAGGACTGAAGCAAGCTTTCAAAAGCCATCTTGTCCCTCCAGAAATATGTCAGAGACATGGCCAAGCCCCAGCTCGGCCGCGTAACTGGGTCCCCAAGATGCCACCACCCACCAAGCAGAACTTGCAGAAAGAGGTTACCGAGCACAACGGACTCGTGAGCGGGAAAGCCAGACGCACCCCTCTCTCTGGTCTTTCTCCTGTTCATCCGACTCCTTACTTGAGGGTCCCACGTGCTGCCCAGCCCGTTCCGTTCCACCCCCCGCCCCTTCTGGTCTCCAATCCCCAGCCTCTGCCTTCCTTTCCCAGTGTTTCTCCCGGTGTCCGGGGCCCCGCTGTCCAGCTGCAGCTGCCCGGTCTCCGTTCTCTCGGGCTCTGCCGCCCTGCACCTGGTCCCGCAGCCCCAGCGCAGGTCCCCCATTAGCCTGCTCACTGCCCGTCCCCAGAGGCTCTCTCCCACCAGCAGCCCCGGGGCTCGCTTCCTGCCAGCGCCTTCCCCTGGCACCCCCCAGCCTCCCAGTCCCTGGGGCCGGCTCCCTCTCCCGGGACTCACCAGCCGGATCTGGGAGAAGTTCGTGGATGATGTAAATAGACACATCCCCAACCAATGAGATCGCGGAGACCGAGGGCTGCCCCGGGAGCCCCAAGCCGCGCGCACGTTGGCAGCAGCGGGCAGCTGGGGGGAAGCGCCGAGCGCCAGCGAGCCCCGGAGGCGGCGGCGGTGGCGGCGGTGGCGGGGGCAGAAAAGGAGGAGGAGGAGGAGGACCGAGGAGGGTAGAAGAAGGGGAAGGCAAGGAGGGGGAGGGGAAAGGGGGTGGGAGGAGGAGGAGGAGGAGGAGGAGGAAGAAGATGGGATGATTTGCAGCTGCAGAGGCAGCGCTCCAAGGGAGGACACCAGGGCCCTCCTCCTCTTCCTCCTCTTCCTCCTCCTCGGCTCGGGCTACGACCCCGCAGGCACTAGGAGCCCGGGCATTCCCCGAACACCCATCCCCCGAGATTGGCCCCCGCTCTTCTAGCAGCTCCTGCCACACGAGTTACGCTCCAGCTCCGGTCGCGGGTCTGCCAAGCTCCGCATCCCCTCCCAGCACCTTTCCCCTCCTCCCCACTCTTGCCCTCCTCCACTCTCTAAACCGCCTTGCCGTCCCCTCCCGCCCCCCTCGAGACCAGCCAATGCAGCTGCTGGGCGCTGAGGGAGAGCAGCTATAGGGATGGAGGGGTGGGGGAGGGGTTGACCTTAAGTTCCCCCCCTCCCCCCGTTGACCCTAGGCGATGGTCTCTCGAGTGGGTTACCTGGGGACCTAGTGCTGGTTGCCAGAGGCGGAGAGAGAAAAGACTGGCTCTCACCTTTCTTCCCCCCCCCCCCCGCCCCCCCGAGGGCTTGGCCAAACATTCTTGGAATGGTAAACTGAGGGTTTGCCAGGAACTCTGGCGTCTCTTCCCACCTGAGCGGACTCCCGAGCGCCCTTGGCGGTGTCGAGGTCCTGCCCCCGACCCTGGAGTAGGAGTGGGGGACGACCCGCGATCTCCAGCCCCAACTAGAGTCCCCGTCAGCCTTGGGCCACCGCACGCTCTGCCCAAAGGCTGCCCACACTGTCCCAGCCAGGGCAGAAGGCAAGGTGTGGAGGCAGCCCAGGAAGGGGCTGAGAGTTAGTGGGCAGCACACCCTAGGTAGACTTGCGGGATACCTTCCAGCCCCCTGCGCTTACCGCACAGTCCCGCAGCCCGGAATTGTGCGCTAAGTCATTGCAGATTTCTTCTCTGACCAGAGGAAAAACAAGGAAATACTTTTTTTCCCCGAGGTGGGTTCATGAATCCAAGTTGGCTCTAACAGCTGGACTTTTTCAGGGATCACTGGGGATTTGCAACTCCAAAGGTTTTCTTTTGCCTCTGAGATCCTTAATTCGTGTATTTAAATTGCTTTTACTTTAAGCCTTTAAGTCATTTCAACTGGTTTTACTTGTAGCGGGCTTTGGACCCGGAGGGTACTATAAGGCAACCCTAGAGGCCATTCTAAACCAAGGGTCCTTAACCTGGCGTCCATGGGGGTCCGTGGGTAGAATTCAGCGTGTCTGAACTTGGATAGGCAAAAATTACATCTTTGTTTGCGCTAACCTTTAACAGAAATTGAATGTTTCCTTCAATTGTGAAATGTAAGCAACAAACATTACTCTGAGAAGGGGTCAGGTAGTCTTCACCAGCCTGCAAAGGGGCTTCTGCCAAAAAATACTCTGATGATTATTTCCAATTTATCCCGTAGAGAGCGGGTTTGGACAGAGTTGTTTACACGTCGTCTCTCCCCCATTAGACTGTGAGCTCCTTGAGGGCAAGGGCTGTCCTTTGCCTTTCCTTATATGCATAGCATTTAGCACAATGTCTGATGCCTGGTAGGTGTTTAATAAATACTTACTGAATCTCACTCTTTCATTTTTACAAATGTGGAAACTAAGGCAGAGAGGTGAAGTCACATCTGGAACTTGCACCCCATGTCATCTCACCCCAGAGCCAGCTTGTTCATGCTCGTCAAGTGATTCTTCAGTACTTCAAGGATCTGTTTTTTCATAGGTAGGAACTCTGCTCCCTTCAATATAGTAGCAACACCTCTCCTTTCCTTAGTAGTAGATGTTTGAAAGTTGCTATGGTAGAGAAATTCCTGGGATCATCGGCTTAGAGTTCATCCAAGGCCTAGCTCTAGATTTGACAAATCAGGAAAGTGAGGACAAGAGAAATGAAGCCCATCTGGGGGATGGTCCTTTCCACTACACCAAGGTAAATCCTGTGGGGAATTCAAGCTGAAAGACACAAGAGTCTCTCCTAAATTGCATGATCAGTTTCTGATTTTAAAAGAATATTTTGATTAAAAGATGTGGTCATCCAAAAAGCCCTGGCTTTGAGTCTGAAGACTTGGGTTCAAATCTGACATATATTATCTGTGTGGTCACAGGTAAGTCACAACCTCCCTTGGCCTCAGTTTCCTTATCTAAAAAATGAGGTAATTGGACTAGTCTCTATAGTCATTAACAATTCTAGATCTAGGATCCTAAGCATTTCTTTGTTTAAAACATAAATTGTTATTGGTAGCTTTTGTTTTTACATCACCCACATTCCCCAATGTATCTCTCCCTTCCTCCTCCCAGAAAGCCATCCCTGATTGCAAAGAACTAAGAAAGAGGCTAAAAAATAAAAGCAGTTTAGCAAAATTAACCAACACCTCAGAAAAGTCTGTTACAGTGTTCCATATCTGTAGTCCCCAATCTCATTAAAGAAGGTTGAGAAGTGCTAAGAAATTTGCCAGCAACGCCTCCTAATAATATCTCTTCTTTGGGACCAAGGTTGGTTGGGATAGTTTCATGGCATGCTGTTCCAATTATTTTGATAGTGTTCCTTCCATTTACAGTGTGCGTTTAAACATACATATATATATATATACATACATACATATATGTATACATATGTATGTATGTATGTGTATTTACTTTTTCCTGCTTCCTTTGCCCCAGTTCATGTGGTCCCTATGATTCTCTCTGTGAGTCATCAAGTTCATTTTTTCTTACAATTCAGTTACTCCTTGCAGGCAGGCAGGCAAGAGGGATGGGATGTAGACTGTTGGTCTCGGAGGCAAGAGGACCTGAGTTCAAATCTGGTCTCAGACATTAACTAACTGTGCAATTCTGGGCAAGTTGCTAAATCTTTGTCAGCTTCGGTTACTCCATCTGCAAAATGGAGATAATAGTACCAAGCTCACAGGGGTGTGAGGGACAAATGAGATACATATGTAAGGTGCTTTGTGAACCTTAAAGCATTATACAAATACTTGTTATGATTATGTTAATGTACCAACACCTATTTAGTCATTCCCCAAGCAGTGAGTGGGCGCTAGGGGGCGCCATAGTGCATACAGAGCAGGGCCAGGAGTGGGGAAGTCATCTTCCTAAATTCAAATTTGGCCTCTGACACTTGCTAGCGGTGTGACCCTGGGCACGTCACTTAATCATGTTTGCCTCAGTTTCTTCACGTGTAAAATGAGCTGGAGAAGGAAATGGCAAATCACTCCAGTTTCTTTGCCAAGAAAATCCCAACTGGGATCATGAGGAGTCAAACATGAGGAACACTTACAGCAACATGAAATGAGTATCTTAATGTATTCCTTTTTAACTGAAAGGTTTCATGTGCCTTTTTTAAGGAGAGACTTCTGAAAGGCAGAGAGGAGACTGGGAGTTTTAAGTCAAGTCAATGAGCTTTTTTTTTTTTTTAAGGCAATTGGGGTTAAGTGACTTGCCCAAGGGTCACACAGCTAGTGAGTGTCAAGTGTTTGGTCTGAGGCCATATTTGAACTCAATTCCTCCTGACTACAGGGCCAGTGCTCTATCCATTTTGCCACCTAGCTGCCCCATCAATAAGCTTTTATTAAGCATTTGCTATTTGACAGGCACTGTTCTAACTACTGGAATTACAAACACAAGCGGGAAGAGCTACAGTCTCTGCCCTCAAGGAGGTTACATTCTAATTTGGGAAGACAATATAGAAAAGAAAGCTGAAAAGCTGAGAGGTAAAAAGAGATGAAGGAGTCAGGAAGGCAAGCTTGGTCTTCTTAAAATGAAGGTTCTGGGAGGAACCAGTCAATCAGAGGGCAGGGCTGCAGGGGTGGAGGGTGCCAGGAGTGGAGAGAGCTTTCAAGATGAAGAGGTTTCTATGAGATGGTGAGGAAAGTCCAGAGAGTCAGCAGTGCAGGCTAAAAAATCTGTTTATTGAAGTATTAAGGTCTAAATTAGCTAGTAATGCAAATTTGGTAGGGAAACTACTAATGTACCCTTTCAAAATTTGTACAAGTTTCTCTTTCTCTGTAGACTTTTCTAGTTAGATCTAATCTAAAAATATATTTTAGGGAGTTAAAAAGGGATAAACACAATTATCCTCATTTTACAGATGAAGAAACTGAGGAATAAAAAAGTTGCCGACAAATTCATTCAACAAGAGTCAGTACTCTCTACACTTCAGGGCTTAATTTCCTAGCTAATGTTATCTCTAAGCTAAATTACCAAAATGTTATTTCATTCCCTTATAATTTAAAATGAATAAAAAAGAGAAATCTTTTCATTCCAGAGTCAATTCCCAATTCTGTTTGTACAGTGCCACATGCTATTAAGCGTGTAATTCATTCCTCTTTACGATGATTATTTTTCTCATTGGTCAGCAGTGACCTCAGAATTGCCAAATTCAGTGGACTTTCTTTGGGTCTCCTTCCTGATACTGTATTTTCCCTTGTCATCACAAATGACACATGTTTCGCTGATTCTTCTCCTGCCTATTTATCACCAATTCATCTTCTTTCTGACCTCTCTCTCTTGGAATCCCTGTTTTCCTTCAACACTCAGCTCAAAAGCCTCTTTTGGCTGAAGACCTTTACAGGTCCTATCACCTCCTGCTCCCCCAGATGCTTGTGTCTCCCCCCTATTTGGAACTGGTTTGTATGTTCCTGTATGCTTCTGTGTTGTATCTTGCATTAGAGTCTAAGCTCCTTGAATGCAGATACTATTTTGCCTTCATCATTATGTTTCTAAAAACTATTGCAGTGCCTGGTTTGGCTTAACTAATGCTTGTTGATTGAGTGAAAGATCAGGTCATCTTCATGATTTTCATATCCATCTCCAATCCATTAAGG